ATAGTAAGTCTATTCCTAGTCTTTTGAGGAATCTCCATACTGTTTTCCATAGTGGCTGCACCATACTGCATTCCCACCAGCAGTGTAGGAGGGTTCCCTTTTCTCCACAGCCTCTCCAGCATTTGTCATTTGTGGAAGTTGTATTTGGGTTTGAACATAATTTTAGGCCAGTTTTGAGAGTGGGTTATCAGATGTATGTTTTAGAAAGGTTATCCTGCAGCAGCAGGAAGAACAACTTGAGCCCCCAAAACCAGGAGAAAGATGATTGAAATAGTTCATGTAGAGCAGGATAAAGAATTTACAGGCAGCAGAGTAGACCTGGAAAAGAAGAAGCACAAGTGTGTCTGGTTTGTATGGAGTAGGAAGGGTCCAGACTGACAAACAGTTTTCTAGCTTTGATAACTGGGAATGGAGGTGGTTCCATTCACCAAGAAGACGGAGCCTGTTTTAGGGGGAAAATAAATGAGTTCACTACTGGACAAACTGAGAATATGGAGATACTGACATACTGTGAGGTGCAATGTGGCAAGGAGATAGGTAGTATTCAAGATATTAGGAAGTTAGAATACAATGTCTTCATTGATTCCATGTGTGGGGGAAGGACACATTAAAGAAATAACCAGGTGAGTGATGATCCTCAGGCCTCTGGCTTGGGCAAGTTGACAATCACTGAGCCAGGAGAGCTCATGAGTTTTGGACACATTGAGCCTGAGGAACTGGTGAGGAATCTGAACAGAGATAGGTTATGAGTAATTGGATATATGATGGGTCTGGTCTCAAAATATGGATATTTTGAAGAAGAAGAAGACTAAAATAAGATATTTTAGACCACCCTGGAAAGTATAGAGTGTTCCACAGACTGCTATTAGCTATTATTTTTTGTTGACTCAGTTTGAAAAGCCCTGATAGTGATAGCCAACTAGCCCATGATTAATTGCTGGAAGAGAAACATCATTTGCGGTTTTGTGGAGGTAAAAGAAGACACCAGCATTGTGTCACTGATAACAATGGCATCGTGCCAGTCTTAGAAGCCATTTCAGCTGGTGTTCATCAGAAATTATGCACCTAAATTGTAACTGTGAGGCAATTCAATTCTGTAAGAAAGGGATGTTAATTTATTCTTTAAAATTGGTTACTATCAATTGTTGCACAAAAAAATTGCTTTTAGTTGGGTCAGTAATTGGTTGGAACTGAGGATTCTTCTATACTCCAGAGTAAAAAGCCCTGTTATCAGGAATTTTTTTTTGCTCCGTCACTGAAAACTAGGAAGAGGACACTGACATCACCTTCATTTTCTGATCCTGGTGATTCACCTGGGAACCAGGGAGGCATCAATAAGAAAGTAGTGTAGTGCTTGAGTTTGAAGTTCTTAGACTAAGTAGAAAAATCTGAAAAAGCTCTGTAAGAACATCACTGGATGTTTTAGACAAGTCCCATATGTATATGTAAGGTTTATATATATATATATATAAATACACACACACACACACATACATATATATATATAAATAAATAAAATTCGGTCATGAGAAAGAAGGAAATCCTGCCATTTGTAACAACACAGAAACATGGGTGGACCTTGACAGCATTAGGCTAAGTGAGATAAGCCAGATAGAGAAAAACAAATACTGCATCGTATCACTTATATGTGGATTCTTAAGAAATAAAAGAAAAAAGAAAAAGAAAATCAAACTCATAGAAACAGAGGGTAGAAAAGTAGTTGCCAGGGGATATGGGATGGGGAAAACAGGGAGAATTTGGTAAAAAGGTACCAACTTTCAGCTATAAGATGAATAAGGTCTGAGGATCTACTGTATAACATGATGACTATAGCTTAACAGTGTACTGTATAATTGCAATTTGCTAAGAGAGTAGAACTTAAATGTTCTCACCAAATAATAAAAACGAAAGAGAGATAAATATGTGTGGTGATCAATGTGTTAATTAAGTAGATGGGAGGAATTCCTTGACAATGTGTACGTATAACAATCATAATGTACAGTTTAAATACCTTATAGTTTTATGTGCCAATTATACCTCAATAAAACTAAAGTAAAAGAAAATGAAAAGAAAAGAAAAGTAAAAAAAGAACAAACTTGAAGAGGAATGATAAACTGGACAAGAGAAACCACTGATTCATTCCACCAGTCAGAATACATACTCACCAAGACTATGCTGAGTACTGGGGTCACCAAGTATAAATATGCCTCTTCTTTCAGGGTCTTTATACATTAGTGGAGAGAAAAACCTGTAAATAATTATCATGAAAAATATTAATTATGATAAAGGAGATATAAGCAGCACACAGTAAGAGAATAGAGGAAGAAGGCACTTAATACTCCCAGTAGAGAATCTGTCACAGATAAAATAGTATGAAATTAGAGTACAGGGTGAGTTGGATTTCAAACAGGCAAGAAAACTTGGAGAGGCTCCCGTTAGCCAAATTTATGATAATTTGAGATGAAAGATGACAGTAATTAATTATAGTAGATGGAGTGAAAAACATCCTCAGATCCATAGTGATACTCGAGAAAGAGAGAGGGAGAGAAGAAATAGGAGTGGAGGTGGTTGGAAGATGGAAAGCTATTACATGTAGAGGGAATGACAACATCAGAAAAAAAATCAACATTTGAAACCTCTGATAATCCTTGATTCAGACACGACTCATGAACAGAAGCTAAAACCACTGGGTCAAACGATTCTGGAGAACGTGATATTTGAACAGTGCCAAAGTACCACCCCGGAGTTTACTTACTAGTTACAAAGGGAAAAGTGTATCTTTACAACGGACTGGTCTGGGGACACTGCCTGAACCGAGCAATCTAGTTTAGAATCTCCTAGAGTGAGTCGTGCCTTCTGAGGAAGTGCAATCAGATGTATACACCATCACTCTGGAAGTGTTTTTGGCCGAAATATTAAACCTGAATCTATTCAATTTCCAAACCCAATTTCCACTTTACAGGAACTACGGGGAAGAGAGGAACAAGTTAAACAACATTATAAGAAACAATCAAGTTCGGGAGGCGGGGCATTCTGCAATAAAACTGGCCTGGACTTTTGAAGGTTAATAGCGCTTTATGGGAAAAAAATGGTGGGGCTGTCCTACATTAAAAGAGTCAAGAGAGGTAAGGACAAAACACAATGTGTGAGCCTTGACTGAGTCCCTATTAAAAAACCAAATCGTTATTAAGGACGTTTTGGGGGAAAACTGGGAGGAAATTTGAATGTAAACTGGATATTTAGTTATACTGTACAATTGTTAATCTTCTTAGCTGTGATAAGGAAACTGTGGGTATTTAGGAGAATAGATGTATTCTTTGGAGGTACTTGAAGTTTAAAATGTCAGTGGCACATTTTCAAATGATTCAACAAAAAAGGTGTATATATTTGGCAAAATTGTAAAAACTAAATTGAGGGTTTATAGGCATTCCTTGCACTATTCTTTCAAGTTTTTTGTATGATTGGAAATTTTCAAAATAAAGATGTAAAAATATTATAAGCTAGGAGAGAGCTTAAAATGGTATTTGAGCCTAACAAATCATCTTGTGCCATTTTTGTCTCATAATATTTATAAATGAACCATAATCTCTATCCATTTCAGTTATTTCTTGAATTCTATTTGCATAATTTAATTTTCCAGCACAGGCATACTTAATTTTTCTTATATGGTATTATGAGTACACCATAGCTTAATGATGACGTATACAGGCTCTGGAGTAAGTACTCTGTTTCTGTTCTAAATTCCATGAACAAGGACTTTGTTCTTTTCACTACTGTGTCTTCAGGGTTTAGACACCTGGACAACAGAGAGTGCTCAAATAGTACTTTAAAAAAAAACTTCTAATTTTGAAAAAATTTCAGACGTACAAAAAAGTTGCAAAGATAATAGAGTTCCATTTACCCTTCACCCAGCATCATGAAATGTTAACCTCTTATATAACCATAACACGAGGATCAAAACCAGGTGAATAATGTTGAAAAATGCATAATCTACACCAAATAATACTTTTCAAATGAATGAGTCTGTAGAATAGGCAAAATAACATTGCTGCCTCAAGAACATAACCCTCAGCAAGTGTTCACGCTCATTTATAATAAAGGGCATCATTTTGATGATTTCTGCCCCTCTGGAGTTTCTACATAGAAAGGGCAGAGGCAGAAATTGACACATTGCAACTGATGGTGCTTCAATTAAAAAAAAAGAAGGGGGAGAGGGACAGGAATCTGGTTGGAAGCAGAACTAGGGGACTTGATGTATTTGCACCCCAAGCATTGTTTGTGTTTGGCTTTTAGTTTATCTGGCACTGCTGTCTTCCTGCCGTCAGTCAAGTCTAGGTCCTGGATCACTCTGGATTTAGGCATGATAGGGGGCCACCTCCATACCCACACTGCAAGGATTCATTCATTCAACACTTATTGAACCCTTACTACAAGCCCTGAGCAAACCCATGGGGATTCAATGACCAACCAACCAACCAAGCAAATATATAAACAAACAAGCTAACAACCAAACCAAACAAAAAACAAACACAAACCCCTTCCCTTCAAGGAATTCAGTCTAGTTGGGGTAAAAGATTAACAGCCAATGATAAAAATAACTGATGAAGTAAATGTAGTCACAGAGCCACTTCTCCAAGACTCCACTGAAAGCACCAGGGAACCAGGAGAGAGCTGCTGACCCCAGGCAACAGAAGAGAGACACTACCAGAATTCTGAGAAAGTTGTACTCACATTTCCACCCAAAGTGGCACCACCACAGAATGTTAGGCTTTCCTATATTGGGAGGGAGACTGCATCAAAGATAAGCTGGAGTCTTAAACAATCCTCTTCATGCAACCTCAGGGCTTCCTATGTCCTTTGCTTTGCTCCCTGATTTTACACCCCTCTGCACCCCGACTCTTGGTGCCTGCCTGCTCTCTCTGGCCTGACATCAGGTATTTCTGGATTTAGATGAGTGCGAATGTTGGCCTGTATTACTATGACAAGGTGGTTTTAAGTCCCTCCAAAAGTCACCTAATATTATCTGAGCCTCTTTCAGGCTCCAATTCTGTGTCCACTGTGTGATGGCAGGATGTTTAACACGTCACCACAAAGTAATGTCTCTTAACAGACATCCTCAGCCTTTCTGGTCTTATTGTAGGAGACAGTTCTTTTCTTAACTTTCTGTAGATGGCTCTCTCATGCCATGTATAAATGGAGACTACACCAGACTCAAGCAAAAACAAGCAGTAACATTATTCTCCATTTGCTGCTATTCAATGCAACACTGCAATTTCTGGGTGCTGAATTTCCAGCGAGTACAGGAAAGATGTATTGCCCAAGTTCTAGGATTATATTCGGCTTTAACCAAATGAGGATTGAAACTCATACCCCTATTAAAATCAAATCCTCATATATTTCAAATGCAGTAAAACAAAACCAAAAAACATGCTGATAACTAAGACCAAAACATTATCAGGCAGTCAGGATATCTGATTCATGCTTTGAGAAACACAGTAAGTCACACTCTGATTACAGCATTTCAAATTGGTAGACTAAAGAGTCCCTTATGAATTAAATACTTTCATCTCAAAAACATTGAGTCTATATAACAACTTATCATTTTCATGATTTTAAACACAGCATTTAAGTTACAGCCATTTAGTCATTGAGTCCATGCAATTGCTTATACTGAGCATAACTATGGTGAACATGTAAAAATTACTTCTCAATAATGCAAATGAACATCTTATATTTTTTCCCATTAATTTGAATATGGAAAATGAACATCTTATATCTTTTCCCATTAATGTGAATATGTAAAATTTTCAACTGAGTTGATTTACATGGGGTCATAATTATAAAACATCTAAGAAACAACTTTAAAATCGATGCCAAATATAAAAGGTACACATGAATGAGTAAGTATAAAAAAACTGCAGCCACAAGCTATTAAACATGTAATTAAAATGGATTTATTGCTTTTGGCTTTGATTTTTTTTCCTCTCTGTTACTGAATCATTATGGGGATCCCTTGAGTTCAATTATAATTATACACATACACATTATAATGTTTCACCTATACATATAATGCATATATAGTCTTTAAAGCTGAAATAATATAACAATATATATGCAAATTTAAATGTGTAAAATTCAGGTAATTAAAAATTACGGTTCCCTAGGCAGCATTAACATACAGATAGTTATGAATCACTGCATTGTATGTTAAATTTATATCACAATCCATCTCTATGGCAAGGTGGATTTATGGTATATGTGGTGAATTCTTTAAATTTCATAACTTACATTCTTTAAGTATTAGGCATAGATTTCTATGTTTAATAATTCTATTCTATATTTAAAGGCTTTCTTTCTGTCCTAGACAGGCAATCATCCCCTGCACAGGGTTCCCTGCCAAGCAAAGTAGCCCAAGATGATTACACAAGTGTAAGTGGCTATGATGACATCTCACGATCCTGTTCCTTTGAGCACAGCTGAGGTAAAGAGTAGGTGGACACCCTACCCAGCTTTCCGCAACAGATGGACTTGTCAAGGGCCTGAAAGGTGATCAGAATTGAGGGTTTTGCACAAGAGAAGAGCAGGTAAATCATAGAATAATCATATTCTCTCATTGATTTGGAATGTGAGATTCAGAGAGAGCTGAGCAGTTGGTAGATAGGATAAAATAATTAAAAAGATGAGGAGAAAGAAGCTGAAACATGTCGATAGGGGACTATGTAACAAGGATTCATAAAGCCTTGTTCCCTGAGGTGGCAGTGAGGTAAGCCAGTTGCTAGAGCTGGTCCTATGCAACCTTCTAGGTCAGACTCTGTTACAGGTTGAATCGTGTCCCCCTCAAAACAAATGTTGAAGTCCTAACACCTGGTACCTCTGATTGTGACCTTATTTGGAAAAAAGGTCTTTGCAGATGTAATCAAGTTAAGATGGGATGGTTAGAGCGGGCCCTAAGCTAATATGACCAGTGTCCTCTTAGGAAGGGAAGAACGGCCTGTGATGATGGAGGCAGAGCTTGAAGTGCTGCAGCTGTAAGCCAGCGGACGCCAGGAATGGCCAGCGAACGGCCGGGAGCTGGGAAGAGGCAGGGAAGGTTTCTCCCTTGCAGGTTTCAGACACCTTGATTTCTGACTTCCAGCCTCCAGAACCAGGAGATAATACATTTCCGTTGCTTTAAACCACTCACTTTATGGTACTTTGTTCTGGAAGCCCTCGGACACTGATCTGTCTCTGAGTCACCTCGACCACGTG